GCAGGGGTGATTGGTATCGATATATAATTACCCGGCTAGTAATCGATATATATCGGTCTATTTTTTTTGCTGATGTTAGAAGGACTCCGAATAATTCTAAGGTAGGTAGTATAGCAAAAGAGGGTAAATTTTTTGAACCAAATATGTCTAAATTCTGGTCAAAATCAATTTTTAATTTTAATTTTGACCAGAATTAAGGCAAATTTGGTCCAAAATCTACCCTCTTTTGCCCTACCACCTACCTTAGAATTATCTGAGGTTCTACCTCAGATAGTGAATCTGCAGTTCATTGGCTTGGATTTACAGTATAGCTTGTTATAATCTGGTCTAATTTTTGTTCCACCTAAACTATTTTCTGGTCTAAATCTATTTATTTACCTTTTTTGTTACTATGTTAATTCTTTTTTTAAATACATCCCACCGGTTTTTTTCTTTCTTTTTCTTCTTGGGTCTTTCCTTTAATGAAATAAGTATATTTTTTAAAATAGCTATATTCATCCTTCTTGTATTCATAATTTTTTGAAGCTTTTTCTTTTTCTTTATCTTGAGGTCAATCTGTAGTTCTTTTTCCCATCTTGTAACTTCTTCACAGTATTGAAGCAGATTTCTTTCTGAAAGAAGCTATACTACTTGTCCCATTATTTGAGAATTATTAGTTTTGTATTCTTTCTAGTAATTCCTTTAACTTAAGAAAAGCTGACAGGTTTGTTTCAATTAGTTCTAGTTTTTTTTTTTGTGTCTATTTGTGACACTTCTACTAGTGAAAGCTGAATAAATATTGGTTTGTGATATTTTTTCTTTTACCAGGATATTTAATTTTATTCAGATTTCTTTCACAATTAAATACTCTTTTTCTAGCTAGTATAGTTTATCTTCTACACAAGATGTTAGATGTTCAAAGTTTTCTTTTTTCTTTTTGTATTTCCTGCACATTGCTATTGGGTACAGATCTTCACAGTTTTTTTACATAAGTGCAGTATTGGAAATAGACCACTTAGGCTTTTTAATCTAAAGCTCTATTTCTTGTTTAATTTAAAGGATCTTGATTTTCTTTTTTTTCCCTTTTTTTACAGGTTTCTAAATATTTTCCAATTCTGTTTTTCAATTCTTCTCTTATGTATATTGTTTTTTTGGTTTGAAGCAAAAAGCCAGTCTGCTTTGTGAAAAGTTTGTATAAGCACTTTGATAAAGTTTCAGATTGGGATATCTACAGATTGCTTATTTCAAAATATTATTCTTTATATGTTCTATATAGTGATGAACATTGTTTCTCTTTTTTTTGTATCTTTTTTTGCTGCTTTATTTATTATATATATATTTTTTGTTAAAGATTTATATTTTTATTTATTAATATTATACTATAATTTTAGTTTTAGATCCAAGACTTAGATTAGATTACTATAAAGAAAATAGATTTAAAAAAAAATATATTGAAATTTATAAAAATTAAATTCAAGATTATAGAAATCTAAATATCAACCAACTGAAACTTCTATTGCTGAAGATATAATAGATGAAAACATACCATGTATGTTTAAAAGACGAAAAACTATATATACTGATGAATTAGATATATACTTAAGAAATCCAACTGTAAATCCATATAAATTTAGTAATATATTATTATAGTGGAAGGTAAATAATAATTTATAAATAATATAGTATAAATATTTTTTAAAATAATATTTAAAATATAGAATTATGAATATGAATTTAAATATTTATCTAAAATGGCAAAAGATTATTTATCAGCTCAAGGTATAATATTTAATATTTTATTAATATTAATTTATAAATATAATTATTTTAAAATTTTAATTTTAATATTTAGCTACAAGTTTTTCTGCAAAAAGAGCATTTTTAGCTACTAAAGAATTAATTACTTCTAGAAGATGTAATTTAAATCCTACAACAATTAAAGTATGTATATACTTAAAAGTATAGCAAATAGCTAGTCTAACTAGTTTTATTAAATATTAATTTTATTAAAGAATTATATTATTTTGCACATATGCGCTATAACGCACCTCATAAGATCAGGTGTAACGTAAAATCAAAACAATAAATTAATTCGTAATCCGCCAGAGAACTATAAAAAAGCATAGTAAATAGTGGGGATTTACTATATGTTTTTTACTA